GTTAATCCAGGTTTTGCATGTATCATACTATTGAGATATGCCATTTAGTTTTTTGTACATCTCTGGAGGGTAAGATTTAATATTAATCCAGAATAAACAGAAGTGAATCAAGTAATTTTCTCTTAAGTTTCTCCTAAATTAAAATAATTCATTTAAAATTATATATAGTTTCCTTCTCATAACATAACTAAAGACATCATTGTTTCACTTATTTTAACAATTTCAAATGGCACAGATGTCTAAAAACACATACCATTCTTATTTGAAAAATATTTAAAAATAAGATTATGAATACATTCTAAGCATTATTCCAGTTAAAGCTTAATTAATACATTATAAATTTAGGAGTTTAAAATTAAAATTTGTCTTAAATAAGAAATTGAGCATTTGGAATTTTACTTTGATATTCTGTGATGTTATGTATAAATCCAATTCAAAAACATTTTAATTATAGGTTTAAATAATTGAACTTTTATAAATAGTTATTGGTGAAACATTTGTATGTTTTGTTAGCACATCTTAGCCTTTTTTTGTTCTAAAGACTGATAATACTATTTCTTTGGGAAAAATTCGGAGAAATTTTGTTACAGTTTCACATTTAATATTTTTTTCTTTGGCTATAAGTACTCTAAATTCATGAGATTTCCATTGGTTTTATTAGTAATGTCTAGAAAACCACTTCTTTGAAAAACCAGTTTTTCGAACAATTGTGAATAAAGGAATCATTGGTAATAAGTATAAGTGATAGTGGTAACAAAGAAGAGTAATACATTCAGGGTTCTCTGAATGGTTCATTACTGCCCTGAAAGACTTATTTATGTCTAATGGCACATAGTTTGTTTATAGGGAATAATAACTTCTTCCTTAGAAAGTCATGTTATTTTAGGAAAAATTATAAAAATACTTCAAAGTAAGTCAAATTTGAATTCAGAAAATCCTAATTTTCTATTGTAGTAATTTAGTTTTTTCAGGTGTTTCATGTGTTTTACTATTGTAAGCTTACTTTAGATGCTTCTTTGGAAGTTATAGAGATATGTCATTTAATATTGTCAATTAATCATTATCTAGCCATCTTATAAATTATTCAGACCCTTTTACATCTCTTGCAGTTTTCATGTTTTGGCTTATTTATACAATTCTACCAAAAATTTAACAGGGACCAAAGGCAATAAAAATAGAAGCCAACCTTTCTATCATTATGTTACTACTGCTTTATTAAAATGATGTTTTGAATCTCTGTTGTTATTTTATACTTTAACATAGCTGTAGCAGCTAAATGGCCATGTTAGAACTAGTTCACCAGTGAGAAAAATATAACTACCAAAGTATTGAAATTAAGAAGTATATATTTTTTAAAAAATCATTTAAAGTAAGCTCTTTGATAAGGGAGATGGATGGGAGTTCGGATGCTTGGAGCTGTCCCTTTCCAGACCAGGTTAGTGACATGACGTCATTCTCTCAAAAATTGTTTTGTTTGCTTGGTGTGAGTTGGTGGTCTTAGTCTTTTTAATTAGAGATAAGAATCCATGATAAAATTAAATTTTGTGTAGATCATCTTACACAGAATGACTGAGGAATTATTGGTAAAGAGCCACTAACCTGTCCTCTCACCCCTACGGTGTGAGCACTGAAAAGGATTAAGGCCCACTGTAGAGAAGCTTGCACTGAAGCCTGCACTGCCCTTTCCCCTGTTCTTTCAGCTAAATAGAAGATTTTTAGTTCCCATGACTATCAGTCTGGTGCTTTTCACAAGCACTAAATTCTTTTAAGGAAATTAAGATGACTTATTTTTAGAAACTGGCCTATAATACCGAAAGATAATGTTTTGTTAATATTTCATGTTGACCGATCTTATACATATTTTTTCTTGATGTTTATTAATTTACTTATTTTGAATGTGGGGGTTGATATAAATGTTTTTAAAAATCAAGGACAGGTTTTTTTTTATGATTCAGTTTGCATCCCCACTTAGTGACTATACAGTTTCGCAGTGTTGAATCTCACATTTCATTAGAAATAGCTATCTGGCAGTCCTGTGGACATAAACTCTTAACTTTTATTTCTAGGTGACTGCAGCATTATAAGGTACTTTCTTTTCATGTTTAAAAGCTTTTAAATAGCTTTTATAAATGCTGATATGTCGTATTTTTTCAGTATCTGCCAAATTGGTATTGTGTTTAATCTCGAAAATATATTTTGATTTTGTTAACCAAAAATAATTGCAGAGTATTAAACATTCTCAGTAGTTAAAGCTTTTTTTCTTTCCATTTAATTTGAGCTTTTGTTGTTACTAACAAATAATTTGTGATAGTTTCTTTTCTTTTCTTTTTTTTTTTTTTTTAAATGACTGCTAGAATCTATATACTTGTCACCTTAGTGTGCTAGAAATGTTCCACTCAAATCGAGGGTTCCTTTCTGGTTTTGTGTGTTCTCACCTGCTCCTCACTGTAAATCATTGAGATGTCAAGTGCAATGATTAATTAAGCTGCACGTGCAAGTGCTTTTTTTTTCACCTGTCAAACAGGAAAGAAGTCTTATAGCAAGATTAGATGGTACTAATTCACAGCTTTTACTTCAGACTGTCAAGTGTGTAGAATATTTTATGTTTATATGCTTATTCAGAATATGGCATACCAGGGTTTGTTTGGTTTAGAATTCTAAACATTGTAAGATGCAATTATTATACCAAACCCTATCATTAAACTTCTAATTAGAGACAAAGAGTAAATTTAGAATTCCTACATAAATATGAATTCCTACATAAATATTTTGGAATTTAAGGTTCATACTTTGTATTTATTTTTGTTTTTAAATTGATTGTATGTGTGTGTGTCATGGTGGTAACTACATTTTTTTCTTTGAGTGATAAATATTTGCAGAATATAGTCTTAAGCTTTTGGGTACTTTTTTCTACATTAATATAAAACAACAAATTTGGAAAGCTTGTTCCCCCTCCCCTAGTTTTTTCCCCCCCCCCCCCCCCCCAATTTAAACCTTCAGTAAAACCTCAAATTGTATAGAAATCTTAATCTATTATTAAAAGGTCCTAGAAAGGAAGATTACAAGGTAGATTCAGGTTTTGAATCAGTTTTGCCATTGGTTTAGCAGCGGGTGGGCAGGCAGATGCCTGCTCAGAGTAGAACCTATTGCCATTTTTCACCATTGATAGAGTAGCCTTTCAGAGTCAATGAGCTCTGTCAATGTGAGCTTGTCAAGGCTACAACTTCATAGACCTGAGAGGCGGTTTGAGAGGTCAGCCCTTTTCAGGTTCGCTGTGATGCAAATGAACTTTAATGCTTAAACAACTATTGGAATTTTTATGTCTGCTCCTTGTTCTTTTTTCTTCACAAAGTCATTGACGAGACATTCAGTGCTTTTTAAATTGGAAGTTGCATTGTGCTAAAGACCTAGTACAGATTTACAGAGGGCTGAAAGCAGTTAGATCATGTTCTTTTCATGGTGCGATTAGAATCAAATCGATTTCCCTACAGCCTTCAGCATTCAGATGGCAATTTTAACAAAGCTTGGGGGCTAGACAAGGGACAAAACGACTGAACTGAATGTTAATTACACTCTGCAGCCTTATTTTCTTTTGATTTGGGGCTGACTGGCAACTAAATTAACAAAAAGTGTGACCATAACTGCTGCCCTATTTTCATTTAAAAGGAGAGCTGCCTCTAAAAGGCTATCTTTACAAAGAAACAACTGAGGTCTGCTGATCATTGTTAACAAGGGCACTATTTTTTCTTTAAAATTCTTGCCAAAAAGAAGCACTTGTTCAAAAAAAGTAGTGTAATAAATTAGTCATTGGCATATTATTACCCAGAAAGATAGTTGATTTTCTGATTTTTATGACATAAGCTTGGAAAATGTAAGGCAATAGTGGTTGGTAGTTATGAATTATAATTGGCACCTAAGTGACTTTGGTGTGTCTTTAGCAGGTAATATGGTAACTAGATTACAGTAGATAATTCAAACAAATATTAATGTTTATTATATAACATTACATTGTTCAAAACCAGCTTGACTCTAACAGTTTTTCACCTAGCTTATCCTTGCTTGACATGCACATTTTCATATTTGATTAGCACGCACTTATAGTTGTGCCACATTAATAGTAGTAGATGCTTTTTTTCCCTTCTCTTGCAAAAAAGGTGCAGCTGCACCAAGTTGCAGTTGGTCCTTGTACAACACTGTCATTTTTGCACCTGCAGCTGTGTCAGTCTCATCCTAACACCTGGCACCATGAATTATCCTCTCCTTTATTCATACTCCCAAGCAAGAAACATTTCATGCTTCGTAGTGAATGTTGCAAGTCAAATGAAATACATTTCTCAGTTGATTCCTGAAACAGCAGTATTGAATTAAAAGTTTGATTTTACTATCAGACAGCATTTTTATGTTGGCTTAAATAAAATTTTGTTTCTGAAAAATCTGTGCAATAATCAATAACCTGGCTTTTTAAATATGGACATTATTTTTAAGTATGATGTGAAAATTAGTTTGATTTTATAATTCGTTAGTTTTTTTTTCCATTTATTAACTTTAAATTATTTCATTTTAGAATTTACTCCAAAGGCCATTTGCTTTTTGTTAACTATATTTAAATTACTTTTGTTTTAAAATATATATCAAGGAATTTTCATTACTATTTAAGTGTTGCAAAAATATTTTTGAAAGAAGTGGGGATTTAAATTTATATCATTTGGTAGATGACATTAGCTTTTTAGACTTTGGTTGTTTTAAATCAAAGGCTAATAAGTTTGTAGCAGTTAAAAAAAAAGATACCTATGCTAAAAAACAAAGCCATATCTTTATTAAAAAAGAGTACTGTTTCTGTTCAGGATACTATTTAGTGTTTAGAACATTGATAGTGATACAGACCACCCTATACTCAGTCACTATCCTATACCTCTCCCCTTTTAATACAAAAAGCAGCTGCAAAAAAAAGTTTTTCTAAAACCAGTCAAGACTAAACTTTTTTCTCATTTGTCTTCCAGACACGAAGATCGATTGAGAAGTTATTAGAATGGGAAAACAATAGATTATACCACAAGGTGAGTACCACAGGGAGCAGCTTCGTACTGTTGGGGTCTGAATTGCACAGTATGGAAACAGATGCTTTTGTTGAACTAAAAATATGAAAGGTGGACAAATGGGTTAGTCTGTGTGCTGCAATAAAATAGAGCTCATTTTTCTTCTTTTACTCTTCTACTTGTCTAGCTGTGCTTGCACTGGAGACTGAGCAAAAGGAAATGTGAAACGAATAACATGATGGAATATGTAAGTTAAAGGGCTGTTTTGTGAGTTTCTCTATTAAATGATCATTTATTTTACTTCTGATCTTATTCTTTTCATGATTATTAATCAGCAAAAGTGTCAGGAGCTTAATCTCCTGAGTGCAAGGATTTTCTACGGTTCACAGATGCATGGTTTCACGTGCAAGACTGATTTATAAAGTTATGAATGACTTGAAAACAAGTCTTTACTGTGTTCTGAAAAATAATAAATTAATTGCCAAGATAAAATAGCCTGAACATGTGTTGATGGAGTGTGAAATTTTAGATGCTGTATAAAGAATAACCACAACTTTGGTTACGCAGCAAGTCAGATATGGCTTTTTTATATAATGCTAATCAAGTTTCCAAGTATGGAAGAAAACCTTTCAGCCAAGCCATTGGAGCTTAAGAAATCTTTAGCCTTTATAAATTTTAACTGTCCATACCTCAGTGGCCTTTAAAGAATCTTTCAAAGTGTTATTAAAATATTGCTTTGTAAAAATTATCTTAAAATTAAGCAGGAGATGTTGATCATCCTGTGTTTATTCTTTAAAAAGTACCTAATTTAACACGTATATACAATGAATTTTAGAACTTATTCAATATGAGATTTTTTAATTTGCTGACTCCCTGCTTTACTTGAAAAATTTTTGTCTTTTTGAAAAGTTCAAAACACTATAGAAAATTATGAATTTTTATTTATTTTTGAGCTTGGGTGTTTTATTTTAAATATGGAATGGTTATTACAGTGAAAGAAAAATATCTAAAGAAGACTTAATTGTTGAAAATTAAAGTCAGAGCCTTTGTGAAGTACCTGATACAACATTTCTGATGAATTTTGTCTATTCTTTGAAACAGTATAGCCTTCATAGATATTTTTGTGTGTGTGTGTGTGTGTGTGTGTGTGTGTGTGTGTGTGTGTGTATAAAGGATTGATTAAAACTGTTTAAATAGTTGGAAATTATCATAAAATCATTTTTCCCTTTTAGCATTTTCTCGTTCTTTCATTACCATTCAGTCAAATCCCATTTCTAGCCTTGAAGATAAAAGACGTCTCTTTTTTATGGACTAGCTCTTTCAGTGAACTGAATAATGTAGATTTTATCTTTATTATATAAAACATGTTAATTTATGATGATGAGAAAGACACTAGATACTTCTTTATAATCATAAAAGAAGCACATTCAAGCACCTTGTTTTGAGGTTGACCTATGAAAATGCTAGTCTTGTATTTTCATCATACATACTAAGTGGATTTATATATGTGGGGAGGGATGGATACTTAGGAGATTTATAGGATTTTGTGAACAAATATTTTCTATATTTATAAACCCAAACCCTAAGCTTAAAACTGAAGCTTTAATTTTTGCGTGTACCTTTATTTCTAAATTTACTTTGGAAAGGAAAATATAAAAGTTATTCCCAATGCTATAATTTCTACATAGAGCTATATGAATGTCATTCATTCATAAACTATACTTATTATATTCATTTTTATGACATTCTTTTATTAACTAAAAATAAAATAATTTAGTAACTGTCCAGAACATTCTGAACTGTATGCTTTCTTTGTAAAATTGTTTCCTTTAATTTCCCATGAAGTTTTAGATCATTAAGCACTTCTACTAAAGCCATTATATTATTTTTCACACCATTGTAGAATATATCCAGAAGAATAATAAAAATAAAAAATATTTTTAAATTGCTTTAAGAGAATGTATATTTTTTGGTTTTTTATTTGTTTCTTTGGCAGCGGGGCTGTACAGGGTTCCGAATCCAAGAATGTGTATTTGTGATAGTTGAAAGTGGTAATAACATAGCTTCAAAAACCCCTAGAAATAATTTTAAAAAGTTTAAATAGCAATAGTAAGAAAATAATGCCTTCTTAGCTAATGAATTTGGACTTTTTCACTTTGTATACCTCTTTGCCCTCAACTTTTCTATAACTTGCAGAAATTTCATTTGTTAGAAGAAAATAATTCTACTTGATTATATTTTGAATATTGGAAATAATCTAGAAATACCAACTTGACACTTGACACTAATTTTTTTTTTTTTTTTCAAGTATGGTAGAGAGGTATGATTTAGAAGAAATGAGACAAGGCCAATTTCTATGTGTGGCTTCTGAAGGAAAAGAGTTTGTAGGGTATGATCTTTAAAAACTAATAATAATTCAAATATAGTCAATGATAGCCTTTATTTTCTGCTATGTAGTATATACTGTGAAATTGTTATCCACACCTAGGGACCGAAATTGTAAAGACTGCTTGATTGAAGACATGTTTGAAATATGGAGGTATTTATTGAATGTTAACTCATAAATAGTTTAAACATTTAATCATCAAATTTTAGAGCTATAAAAAATCATATCATCTAGTCCAATCCCTTTATTTTATAGATGAGGAACCAGAAAAACAGAGAAATCTAGCTTAAATGAAGAAACTAGATGGGAGAAAGTATTTTAATATGGAGCAAGTGAATATTGTAAGGGCAAATAACAAGTCAGGAAGGTGGCAAAGGTGTCACCTAAGACGTACTGCAGAATAACTGGAGTGGGACAGGAACGTTTTTGATCCAGATATAGAAGTACCTTCTTTATTGAGGTAGATCTAAAGCCAGGAGAACTGAAGAGTGAAAATGAAGCTTCCTGGCCCAGATGGCTAACTTGTCGAAGTCCTCAAATCTGGAGGTCATATCAAGATGCAGTTTCTGGAAAAGAATGAGGAGTCTGTCAAACTTGGAAACTGTACAAATCAAATAATTTTTTGATCATCATCTATTCCATACAGAGTTGTAGCAAGGGGAGGAGTTGATTATAATTTAAAACAGTTCAAGTTTGGAATAAAAATTAGCTCTGGTCAACCTGTGTATTTCTGTGTTTACTGTATTATGTGTTTGTAGGTTTTCCTAAAGTTTCCTATTAAAAGTTCCTTTGGAACAAATTTTAACTTTTAATTTTGCTAACCTTAGAAGAAAATGACTTTTAAAGAAATTGAGATAAAGGACCAAATACCCTTTATCTAGAGATTACATATTCTGGTATATTAAAATGAGAGCAACTCTAGAATTTAGAGAATATTCATGGAATTGGGTTGATAAAAGGGAGGAATCCTGATGAAAAATAATGGGACAGCTGCAGTCACATAGTACAGTAGAAAGGACAAGGATTTGGAGTTAAGACAATCTTTTGTTCAAATACTGATTCCACAACTCGTGGTATTACAACTTGTTTGATCATCAGTTTCCTCATCTATAAAGTAGTAATGATAATACTCACCTCATAGAAAAGCTGATGGGATTAAATAGATCTATATAGTGTGAAACAACTAGTATGCAGTCAGTTTTCAGGAAATGCTAGCCCCTTTTTTCATCATGCATGCATGCATGTGTACATGTGTATTCGCTCCTCCACCATGTCAGGGGCACTGTCTCTTTCACCTACCTTCACTTACCTTCTCAGACTTTGGTTATTTTACTTACTTATTGTCTTCCTCTTTATAAAGCTGAGGTATTTTGCATAGCTGGTAAAGGTCCAGAAATAAAAATTCTTAATGGTGGAACTTTGGGTTATTAGATAAGTGTTTGGTTTATAATGCAAAATTGCAGTTTTGAAATGTGAATGGATTTTCGAAAAATTTTTAAGTGATAAACTATACCTGAAGTTTTAAGTTAAAAATCTGTTTAAATTTTAAAACTTTTTCTTCTCCTTTCGCAGGTCATCCTCATAGAATTTTTACCAAAGACACCGATTTTTCGACCAGATTAGCATTTACTTTATTTACAGAGACTTTCCAAGTATGTTGTCTTTCCAATGGTGCCTTGCTTGGTGCTCTCCTGGTGGTGACATAACATTGGTTCTACAAAGTCGTGTGGTGTTTTTTTGTTGTTGTTGTTGTTGTTTTTAAGTAACCGCATGTTCTAAGTATGCATTTTTGTCAAACTTTGCAACAGTTATTTCATACAGATGTTTAATACTTAAGTTATTGTGCTCTTTTCTGTTATGTATTCTGATTTTCAAGGATTACTTTTTTGTATTATCAAAAAAATACATTTGAACTTAGCATAAAAAGTGGCCAGCCTTTTTTATTTTATCACCAAGGTATACACAGTCCTTTATTTATAAATTCCTTAACATAAAAAAACACCTTTGTAAGGCTCTACTTATCTATTTTAGCAAGCACACTCTTGGTGTTATATATTTTTTTCCTTTATAAATCTAACAGTCATTATTTTAAAGTGGTAAGTTTTCTTTAATAGCCTTTTGGAACCTAACATATCCTTTCTCATACAATTTCTAATGCTCTGTTTGCAGCAGATATATCTGTAACATTATGAAGACCTATCAAAAACTTATGAAAGTATTTCTGTCTTCACAGGTAGTAAGGCAGAATTAAATTATTTTTATTAGAATAGATAAATCAATGAATGGTATGCATGCATCTTATGGTTACTAGAGCTCAGGATCACAAAATATAGTAGCATCACAATCTGTGTATATTTTTGATTGAGATATTAATAATAACCTTACTTGGGTTATTTTTATTGTTTATCAAATCTTATATACAAAAGTATGGAAGTATTCCTTTTAAAAATTTCTAAGGAAAATATTTCTCCCAATCTAATCTGATTATAGAATGGGTTTTTTGTTTTTTTTTTTAAAGTTTTTGAAAGAAAGTAAAGTTCTAGAATTAAAAGTAAGCTGGTGTTTAATCCCCTGTTGATATTCAGAACAGATTGTTACTAAGAAATGGAGGACATGTTTAATACTGTTTTAATCCAGTAGTTTGCTTTCAGTCCAGTTATATATATTTTTTTGCTTGAGAGTATAACATATAAGTTTGAATCAGATCAGCTTGTTTCTTTTAAATATACACACAACCCTATTTTTTCTCCTTTTCGTTGTACATATATATCTCCATGCATTTTTTACCTTTTTAGATTTCTGAATGGCCTATATGTAAATTTTTGTTTTTATAAGCCTAAAATGATATAAGTTTTAATGTGTGTCAAGAACTTCTTCCATACAACTGTGGTATCGAGCAATAATGTGAATAACTTTTGAAATTATATAAACTATGCTTAATAATTTGTATTACAAATTGGTACCACTATACAGTACTTTTTTTCCTTGTATTAAATCTTTTAAATACCAGTTTCATTAATTATATACCTGTATTTTTTAAGAGTATTTCTTTGTACTTCTCCAGAGTACTGCAATTCTATATACATTTGAATAGTTAAATGCCAGTATCTTACATCATATGTGCTGTATTGGACATTAGAAACTATCTTAAAAACTAGGATTTAAAACAGTTTTTTTTTTTTTTGTCTGAGAATTATTTGTTTTCATTGCCCCCCAACTTAACAACACTGAATTTATTCAACACTTTTCCAATGAAGAACTCAAAGTACAAAGAATTCAAATATTTCTCTATTTAACTGTGTCTAGGGTGTGTCCCACCATCTTAAAGTAGTGCAATTAAAAGTAATACTGTTCAAAAACTTCATTATTTTTCTGTGGTTTCAGTGTGAAAAATTTTGTATCTCCATGCAATGCTAAGTCTGCCTCAGGATTCAGAAGGAACAGAAAAATGACTGTGTAGACTATGCAGCACAGTGTTTCCTATATAAAACTGTATCAATCCAAAGAGCACCATTTGTGTTAGTTTAATAAGAACTTACCTATTTAGACATAATTTTTCTCCTATTATTAGTCTTTTGTCAATTATAATTTTAAAATTATTATATTCCTGTAAGAATATTTTAGCGGTAAGATAATTTTCGTAGTTGGTGATATTAAGTATAGGATTTTAAAAAGCTTTTCTAATTTTATGAGAGGTGTATCAGTTACTTAAAGATTCCCTAGAAATGTGTACTCTTATACTTGCAATGTCTATATAGAAAAGAACTGTGAATATTTAATATGTGGAATTACTGTAAGCCAATTATGTTTTGAGCACTTAGATTTCCATACTTCGGTTTTCATTAGTAGCCTCCAGTATAACTCTGGCTTATCCTTTCTTGAATCCTGAATTTAAGTGTCCATGTTACTGGAAATTAGACATTTGCGAAGCCCATGTTATGTGAATGTCAATCTAAGGAAATATTTTAAATGATGATTGTTCTTTAGCTCCTGTTTTCTGACTTAAAGTTTGTGGGACATGAAACATAGATGCTTTTTAAACTGGCCAAGAAAAGAAATTATTGGCAGAAAATCCAATGTATAGATTTTACATAGGTCAAGTGAATAATTTATGATCTTTTTTGTATATTACTGGCATTTTCCAATCAGTTACCATTTCTGTATAGAAACATTCTTTTCTCAAATAATGTATTTTGCAAACTCTATTATATTTTAATACATGACTTTGGATGTCTGAGTTAAAGTAAATACTGCAAAGCCTAATGACTTTAGTAGAAACTAATATGGCACATTTAGCTTCTAAGATAGTATTGCCCCTCCCTCACAAGGGGGTCACCTCATCTAAAATGATCATCATATGTTTTATGAAGACTTTTTAATGACTAGGTTTCATTCGTTTAAAATATAAACATGTAATTTTGGCCTAAAATCCACAATAATAAATTCAACGAAAACTTGAATAATAGTAAACAATGATTTTATTTTCTTACTAGAAAAACTAGTTTTGTAATTGAATAATTTTAAATCAGGAGGAACCACAACTTTCCCCGTGGTTATGTTTTCAGTGTTTGAGAGCTTCTGTTTGTTTCTTTGTATTAGTAGACACAGGCCAACCATATAAAACTTTGACAACATTCCTTCTCAATCTTTGGTTGTAAAAGAATGATATTAAATAGCAATATGTGCAGTTGAACCCACAGTTGCATGAATCCAAATTACACTAGTTTCATATAACATTATGTACATAGACAGTTTCAACTTTTATGATATGTGGCATCACAATTATAACCATTAGTTGCATACCTGATGTTTCACTGTAAATATTTGCCTTGGTTTGCTGTTGGTCAATACTACTAAATCAAAAGTACAGTGTGTTGGGCCGGCCTGGTGGCGCACTGCTACAGTGCGCCGCTTGGGAAGCGCAGCGGCGCTCCCGACGAGGGTTCGGATCCCACATACAGACCAGCCGCTCACTGGCTGGGCGAGGTGCGGGGGCAAACACCGAGGGTTGCGATCCCGTGGCCAGTCCCGGTCCGGTACGGGCGCGACACTGAGGGTTGCGATCCGTTGCCGGTCATGAAAAAAGACAAAAAAAAAAAAAAAAAAAAAAAAAAAAAAAAAGCAAAAGTACAGTGTGTTTACAGCTGTCTTTGACCAAACTCCTGCTTCTAGTCCTAGATCCTCTTTCCTTGTGTCTGCTGAAGTACCATGGATCGTTTTGCTGTCCTCTTGATGTCCAGTGTCTTCACCTAGGCCTGGACATAGTTCAGAATTGCCTTTTTATCTTCCTTCCTCGGAGCTCCCAGCGAGAATGTCAGTTCATTTGCATTCTTAGCTAGGTGTTTAGAAGACCTATTAAAGTGAGTCACATTAAGTGATGAATGGCTGACACCCTCAGTTCTGCTAAGGTGGTACTTAACGTTTTAAAAAGGGAGTTTCTCAATTGGTATAGTGGTGCAGTTGGTGTTTTACATCTCAACAGACCCTATGGGTCCAGACTCTCCAGGGAGGGAGTAATAGGATGGTTGCATGCAGGCTACTTCTCAAACCGCCATTTTGTTTTGTTTTGGTTTGGTTTTTTAAAATTTTAATTTATCAATATACAATATAGTTGATTTTTGTGTCCATTTACCAATTCCTCTACCCCCCTTCTCCTCCCTCCCCCCCTATTAACATCATATCTGTTCTCTTGTCTTAACAAGTTCAAGGAATTGTTGTGATTGTTGTGTCTTCTTCCCTGCCACCCACTGTTTGTTCGTGTATTTATTTATTTATTTTTAGCTCCCACAAATAAGTGAGAACATGTGGTATTTCTCTTTCTGTGCCTGACTTATTTCACTTTATATAATTTTCTCTAAGTCCATCCATGTTGCTGCAAATGGTAGTATTTCATTCTTTTTTATAGCGGAGTAGTATTCCATTGTGTAGATATACCACAGTTTCCTTATCCACTCATCTGATGATGGACATTTGGGATGGTTCCAACTTTTGGCTATTGTAAATAGTGCTGCAATAAACATGGGAGTACAGGTATCCCTACGACATGATGATTTTCATTCCTCTGGTATATACCCAGCTGTAGAATAGCTGGGTCATATGGTAGATCTGTCTGTAATTGTTTGAGGAACTTCCATTACATTTTCCATAAAGGCTGCACCATTTTGCAGTCCCGCCAAGTGCAGAAAAGTTCCTTTTTCTCAGCAACCTCATCAGCATTTATCATTCTCAGTCTTTTGGATATTAGCCATCCTAACTGGAGTGAGATGGTATCTCAGTGTGGTTTTGATTTGCATTTCCTGAATGCTGAGTGCTGTGGAGCATTTTTTCATGTGTCTGTTGTACATTCATATATTTTCCTTTGAGAAATGCCTATTCAGCTCCTTTGCCCACTTTTTAATTCCAGTCACAATTTTGAAGGAAGCTGATTTATGTCTAGTTTGGGGGAGGAAAGAATAGGCTCAAGGCCAACCCTAAAACAAACTATTAATTATCCCACAGCAGTTTGGGTTTAAATATTTAACCATATTTTAATGAAATAAAGTAATTCTTCATTTTATATTGATATAATAGCCAACTTTATGTTATTTTTAGGAATATACCTTTCATATAAGTTGAGATTTGAAGGATGTCTTTAAATGTTGTTTTCTTGTTCCATACTTTTACAAAGATTTTTAGATGATAATTTAAGAGAAGCCTAAATATTGTTTATATTATTAATCATAATTCTGTGTACTTGTTTCTGTAATAGGGATCAGTATGCACACCTCCACCCCGCCCTCCGGCCCATGGCAAATTGAACCAACAGAGGTTGTTTATAGCAGATGATACTGAAAACAGAAATTCAGGATACAGATCCTGATTTTGAATTCATTTCTGATGTTCTACGAGATGATCAAATTTCTTGGCCTCTTTGCTTTTATTTTCATTTTCAAAACTGAAGGAAGATACTCATGGTGTTAGAAAAAGAAAAAGAAAAAATTTCCTTTATCATGTCCTTTGAGAAGATAATGAAGGCAACTTTGAAAAATTTATCAATTTATCTTTTATAATTTAAATGTGATAATATTTTAAAACTAACCCAGTAAAGGATTCTAGGGATTTTTTCCTATGTCCTTAAATGAGCATGGAATAGCTTTAAATAAAATAATCAGAAATCCTGATGGGTGAGCAATTACAACTATGCTTTCAGATAATTCTAGTAACATTCAGGTAAGTCTGGTAACACTAAAAAAAAGATAAAATGTAAAGTTGGTAAAATATAAAGTTGAATTTCAAAGGTGTGTATTATATGTTTGCTTTCATTATTAAGAAATTAAAGCCATTGCCAAACAGTGTCTGTTTTTCCTACAAGGAGATTTTTGGTTGTAGATAAAAGTGTGTTGGCTGTCATAATTGTGGAGAAATATGTAGATAGGCTGTAGTTTAAGGGAGCTTTGGTATTGGTCCCATGTTGGCTGCAATATTTGTATTTAGTCTTATAAAATTAAGTCTTCATTGACTGGACTTTTCTAGTGAACAAATGAAGATCTAATTTGGGCTAGGAGATATTTTTATTTTTTATTTGCTTGCTTGCTTTGGCTAGTGGAATTTTGGTTTTTCTAAGTGAGTCTTTTGCAAAATGTGATTGCATTACATAATTCCATGCTCAAAATTAAAGTATGGGCTAATTCACAGCATTTGGTTTTTAAAGAACATAATATAGTAAATAAAATCTTCAGTCAATTTAGGTGGAATTGAGAAAGGGAGTCTGGAGCTTAGAGATCAAATCACTTTAAAAGAAATTGACCAAACTAATAATGTGTATTGAAATGACCATATAAATGAATGAGTACTCTCCCTTTTCCTCTCTCTCTTCTTCCATGGACATAAATTTGCACATATGTCTGGGAATAGAATAAATTGACATTTATGAATATGAGTTTAGGCACTGTATACAATGAATTTAAAGGAAATTGTATATTATGTGTTCATAAACTTGCATCATAACGGGAAAAAAGAATAGGGAAAAAATGCAACTTAAGTAT